ATCTGTAATTTTGAAAAGGTTTAACGATGTTATTATTTAGTCCATGGGTCAAATTCATAATTTACATAAAATATATAAAAATATATTATTTGGTATATATATTTTATACATAAATAATTATGTATTTTAAACCCAAAATAATATAAAGCATTTAATAAAAATATTAAAATATAAAATATGTTATTGTAATATAAATAATAAATTAATTTTAACCAACCAAATAACCAAATTATTTCAATTCACCTAAAAATATTTTGCATTGTATAATACACAATAGTAATTAAGATGCTCTGAATAAATATATTTTTATTTTATAATTTATATGATAAATGCGAAATAATGTTGATCGAAGTACACACTATTAACGCTTTCTAAAATTGAGAATGCATATAAAATAATCGCTCAATAGACTACACAATAATTAATGCTAAAAGGAATGCACACCAGTGTTAGACGGATTGCACATTAGTGATGGTCAGATTGCACATTATCGAACCGCAATATAAAGTTTCAAAGCAAACTATATAAATTATTATTGTTATTGTTGATTGTTATTATTATCATTATTCATACATTTTTATGTGTTGCGAGTGTACAATATTGTTAGACAATTTGCACATAAATGACTATTAGATTGCACATTAGCGGTTGAGCGTCCAAACTAAAATATATAGTTAGAAATTTTATATTCTTGACGATTATCTATATTTTCTTTCAATTTTAAAATACTGACTACAATATTATAAGTATACATAATAATTTAATTCGGTTATTTTGGTTAAATCGTTTAAACGGCCGATATGACTATCTTAATGCATATCTATCAATATATTAAAAGATTAACCATTTAACACTTTTAGCAAGTTTTTTCCCGCCAAATACATTTAACGTCTCCTAAAAATAAAGCAGCATTAAATGTTGTCCTTAAATCATGGCAGTTGTTAATTTAGTTTGGAGAAAATCGTGGCAACTAAAACAAACAACATTAATTACGGCTGATTTAATATTTAAATGGTAAACAAATATTACTTTTTTATGACTGATTTAAATTTACGTCTGTTTAAAAGTAAAAAACTACTTTTGTAATTTCAACAAATTTGTACTCTTTAATGTACGACTGATTTAAAATTAAGAATTTACTTTTGTATTTTCACAAAAAAATCGTATAAAGAAGTATGGCTGGAATAATAATAAAAAAATAATTTGTTAAACCATATTTTGCACTCTTAGATACGAATTCTCATCAAATTCAAGATTTAAAATTGTGAAGAATGTATATAGATGTGGACTGATTGAAGATACTAGTACAGAGCTCGTGCGATGCACGGGGTGCACAATGTTAAGGCTATTTATCCAGGCTTATAATTATATACATGAATAAAGAAAAATGTACGGGATATATATAGTACGTGACCCGTGCGAAGCACGAGATATATTTATTTGGAGAATATTATATTATAAAATGCAATATTCAATAAAAGTTTATAATACGCAAGAAATTGTACAATGTTCAATAAAAGTTTTATAATATTCAAGTGGAGTCTTAAAGACTCTTGTACATTAAGACTACTGACAAAATAATATTTTAATCAATGAGTTTCATTTCCTTGTAGCCAAATTGTGAATGTGATTTGAGGAGTACAACAAATCGATATATAGCTGACTTGCTTTTTTCATTGTAGTTTTTTTTTTCTTTTTTATTTTATAATGAACTTAAAGATATTCTAAAATATAGCAAAAATTAATTTTTTATTACAATTAGGAATTTTACTAAATATAAACTCTCAATCTATGGTGTTAATCAACGTTTAAGTCTAAAAAATTAAGAATTTTTACCTCTTTTAATCAACGTTTAAGTCTAAAAAACAATAGAGTTATTATAAGTTTTTTTTTCTACATCTTTTAAAACATTAAATATGAGCATGTTAGGGCTAGCTTGTAAAATAATTAATATATTATCTCACTAAAACATTTATACTAATAAAAATTTAATTTTAGCATATAAATTTATCCCTTGATATAAGAGAAAGTAACAGTTTTACTTATTGTTGTTCACCATATAATATTTAATTATTATTTTATTATATAATAAAAAAAAAATATTGTTAAATAGTGTAGTAGAATTGTTATAAAATTATATGATTTTTTTTTTTAAAATATGGATTTAATATTTTTTTTATGATTTGATAATATAAACAAATCTATACTTAACTTTGACAAATAAAACAAATAAATACTTTAGTAAGTATTTAATGTATATACTAAATAGGAATATATTTGGTATAATCAAATACCAAATATAATCAAATAAGTCAAAGTGTACATTTTTATTTGGTATTTGATTTTTTATTATTAAAATCTTTTTATTATACTTACCTTTTTAAAATAAAATAAATAAATAAATCAATTAAATAAATAAAATATTATAATACCAAAATAGTAATGACATTTAATGCAGTTGACTTTTCTGGATAGTAAATGTAGTAAATAAAATATCCTTTTATATAGTATAATAAGGAAATAGTAATGCAATAAATGCTGTTGACTTTTCTGGCTACTTAATTTGGTAAATAGTATCCCCTTTAATATAAGTATAGATATGATTCCTTAAGTTAAGGAATTTTTTCCGGTAAACAAAAATATAAACTTTAAATATAGATTTTATTAGTAGTGTATACCAAAGAATATTGTTACATTTAAAATTCCTATGAAGAAAAATTCTATTAATTTTCAAATTCAACATCTCATAAAAATAATATAATACACTTTTACATTCTATGAAACAATATTTAAAACATACTGTTCAACATGCATAAAATGTAAAATTACCTAACATGAATCATTTTAACTTTCTAAAACCAGTACACAATTTGCTCGGTATGTACTAATAGTCTAATAGTTAAGAGCTAATATTTGCTATGACATCTATTGGTTGGAAAGAATTCTATTTTGTATGGAATTCGAAATAAAAAAATATATTATGAAAATCAAATTTGATTTAGAGATCGATTTCTTAATGGCCTTAAATTATGCACATATATTGTTTCAGTTTTTAGGATTCTTTTTTATGATCTCAGTCTTTGCTTTATATGAAATCTATACTTATATAAAAAGTCATCCTATTTACTAGAAATAGTAGGCAGAAAAGTCAAAGGTAATTAATGCTTGTTGGAAATAGAATGATATTAATTACAAATTTTTTTTGGTATTTATAGGCTTGACATTAAAGATTTGTTATGGGGTAAAAATCAGAACCGATTTTTTTACCTTTGCCGGAAAAGTCAAAGGTAAGTATAAATTTATTTTATCCCATAGCATCGGTTTAGTTAAGAAAATCCCTTCAAATCAGTTTTATATGTCAAGCCTATGAATAAAGATTTAATCGGTCAAAATTAAATCCTTATTTTACGTCACTCATAAATAAAGTAGATGTCAAGCCTAAATTTAAGGGTTTAGTTGTCTATATAGTCATTGATTTACGTAAATACATCTAATGTTTAAAGTTTGTGTAGATTGAAAATTCTTTCTTATCTTTTTACAAAAAAATCTTATTATTATTGTATGAAAAATCAAACTCATAATGTTGTGGACAAGGAGGTCTTTAATAATAAATGATTGTTTGTCGAATACTATCTTATTGTACAATTTTCCTGCGTATTATAATACTTTTATTGAATATTGCATCTTATAATATAGTATTCCTCAAATAAATATATCCCGTACATTTTTCTGTATTCATGTATATAATTATAAGTCTGGATAAATAGCCTTAAAATTATGCACCCCATGCATCGTACGGGCTCTGTACTAGTTAGTGATTACAGGAATGCACATTAACATAATATAGAAAAAAAATTTGATTCTATCGATTAAATTGCAACAAAGTCCTTATTACTTGTCTAATTTCCAAAAATAAGNAAAAAAAAAAAATCCAAAAGAAAAATAAATTCAATATCTCTTCAATTCTCTCTAACAAACATTGTTCAGCCACCCGCCTACCGCCTCCAGCGTCCCGCTATTAGCCATTCGACGCCACCCACGTCAAGCCGTCCTCCACTAAACGCCGTCTGCGTACCACCGTCAGTCACCCAACGCCACCCGAGTTCCAACTGTCTCCCTCATCTTCGTGCAGTCGCCGCTGTCTTCTGCCGTCTGACATCACATGCTTGCTCCTGCCAGCGGATCTCCTCGTGACTGCGACTTGGCCGGCGCTGGGACCTAAGCCAACAATTTTCCCAACGGCTACCCCACGGCCCACGTTCCGACGCCGAAGCTGGCTGCGACTCCATGACCTATGGTTTCTCCTCCGTCGACGCCGACGAGCTCTCTCAATGGATCTCTGACGACGAGCTCTTGACGGAGCGCCGTAGGTGATGGCGGCTATGGCATATGGAGGCGGCAACTGGACTGCCGGAGATGATGGCGGCGGCGAGCTATGGTGTTGGCGATTGGAGGCTCGGCGATGTTCGAAGTGGTCGACGCCCTCACTGTGTGCTTGTGTGTATATCGTGAATATGTGCAGGTGCAGAGAGAGAGAGATAGATATACTGTATGTTTTTGGTGTGAATGTGTGTATGTGTATGTGTGTGAGAGAGAGAGAGAGAAGTTAGGGTTGGTGGTTTATGGTAGGTCCCACATTATGAGTTGGACTGATTTATAATAACTAAGATACTCTTACTAATTGGTCAAATGTATACATTTGACCACCATGTGTATGTTAATTTGTTATACTGCCATTTGTGATTGATCAAAGTTTGATTTCATCATGACTATTGACTTGATAAATCCAATGGTTTAGATCTATTCTTATTTCTTTCACAAAATCCATTTC